TTTTCGGAATTATTCATCAAAATAAACCAGGGAAAAAATTCCCAGCTTTGGGAAAAATTCATGCGGTTGAGGGTTAAATAAATATTGAAAAAATCTTTCCATTTCAATTCTCTTAACAAAGTGTACGGAAAAGTAAACATTACCATTGTTGACAGCATATTGAATCTATTCCAATTGTTCTGCAATAATAATTTGGTTTCTTTTACTTACCGATTAAAAGGTTAGCGACATTATTGTGACCTGAAAAATAATACAGATCAATGAAAAGATCAAAGCGGTATTTAATTTAGTCAGCAGTACCATGGTTAACAGCTAACTGACGAGGTGTTAGATTCTCAAGATTTCTAATATCAACTTTGGCTCCTTTTTTGATGAGAAGTTCAGCAACATTCTTGTGACCTTAGAAATAATTGAGATCGATGAAAAAGATCAAACCGATTCTTTATTTTGTGAAAATAACTATTCAACATTACCATTTTCAGCAGCATAATGAAGAGGTGTATTATGAAGATGATTCGTGATATCCATACTGGCGCCTTTGTTGAGGAGAACCTCGGCGACATTTTTGTGACCTGAAAAATAATTCAGATCGATGAAAAAGATCAAATCGATTCTTTATTTTGTGAAAATAACTATTCAACATTACCATTTAGAGCAGCAAAATGAAGAGGTGTTGGATTCTCAAGATTTCTAATATCAACTTTGGCTCCTTTTTCGATGAGAAGTTCAGCAACATTCTTGTGACCTTAGAAATAATTGAGATCGATGAAAAAGATTAAACCGATTCTTTATTTTGTGAAAATAACAATTCAACATTACCATGCATAGCAGCATAATGAAGAGGTGTATTATTATAATGATTCATGATATCCATACTGGCGCCTTTGTTGAGGAGAACCTCGGCGACATTTTTGTGACCTGAAAAATAATTCGGATCGATGGAAAGATCAAATCAATCTTTTATTTAATGAAAACAAGTATTCAACATTACCATATTCAGCAGCTAAATGAAGAGCTGTGATATTCCAAACATCTCCAATATCAGCGTTAGCTCCATTCTTGAGAAGCACATCAGCGACACCTCCGTGACCTAAAATAATACGGATCAATAAAAAAATTAAACCAATTTCCCATTTAGTGAAAAAAAAAGTCAAGGCTGCACTGACGAAGTGTAGTAGACATCACACACAACTCTGACACCCGTGTATATATGCTAGTCGGTTTCGTGTGTGAGTTGGTTGCGATGGCTGTATATGCGATGTTTGTTTGCACGATAGTTGTGTGCGCCGCAGTTGCATCGCGATATGCTTGTCTATTGGCCAAAGCATATTCAGTGCTTGCTGCTACTATACTAATGCGCATAGTACTCGAAAAGAGTATTCTTCTAAATTACCATGGGAAGCAGCACAATGAAGAGGTGTCTTTTTCATATTAGTTTCACTATCAAGATTGGCTCCTTTGTGGATGAGAAGTTCGGCGACACTCTTGTGACCTGAACAATAACACCGATCGATAGGATAAAATCAGGTCAATCTTTTATTCAATAACAATAAGTATTCAACGTTACCTTTCTTAGCAGCATAATGCAGAGCCGTCTCATTAAAATTATTTCCAATATTGAGGTCGGCTCCTTCAGCGATGAGGTTTTCAGCTTCCTTCACTTTGCCTGAAAGAATATGACAAATATTCATAGATCAATGAAACGGATTGAACAAAACATTCTTTTTTATAAAGAAAAATGTCCAAAATTACCAGCAAAAGCAGCTCTATGCAGAGCTGTCTCTCCATACATGTCTTTTTCGTTTACTAAAAACGTATGAAAAGTTTGGCATAAATGAGGTTCCCATTTCTTCGTTACAAGGTGCTTTGTATATGGAATTTAAGAGTTAAACTGGATAAATAAATGAAACTTCAATCTTACCGTTCCTCGCGGGTGGTGCTCCGCTCACATCCCCGATTAAGAACTGTGGAAATTAAATCAAAGTGATACATTTGGAATGGGACCAACGGATGAGATTAATACATTATGTATAAATAACAGTTTTCAACTGTTTTTAATAGAATAAAAGTTTCCGGTGGACAATTTTTTGGAATAGAAGAATTTTTTCAATTTGAGAACTTGAAAAAAGGACACTTTTCATTTTTTAAATTATTTCAGAAAAAATTATCACAAATTGTCCACGAAAAGTATCAAACATGAAAAATTCAAAAAAAATCGACTGAAATTGTCGACTCACCTCGGATACTATCAAGCCAATGAGCAGCAGTGTGAAAGAACTTCGACTCAGCATTTTTCTAGCTTCGAACTATTGAAAGTCTACTATGAACGTATCAATTGGTAAGGACTGTTTGATGGACATTCGAATCGAACGCATCCTCTTATATACTTTTCAAGTGTGGCCACGTCGGTGGGCAACACACTGTATGATTCAATCCACGTACAATGACGATTCTAATTAAAGCCCACAAAATATTATCGCACACATTTTTCAAGATAACAATGTCAAAACAATTGAT